ATACTACGGCACCGAATATTTAGGGGTACCAAAATGGAACCCTAATTGGGGGAACTACCCATGTGGAAATGCTTGGGAGATGGATGGTTGCGTTGGTAACTGTAGCTGAGATGCGGAGGGCAGCCTCGACGCCCCAGCCTCCCCCACCACCAAAATGAGCAGTAGTCTTAACTCCTTAAAGGGGGTTACATAGGGGATAATATAGGGGACTCCTATAGGGGTTCTTGAGGGGGATACTAGGATTTTAGACTACAGCTCAAATGGGGCTGGGGTGCTGAGCGGGCATTCGGGGTCCTGGTGGAAAGAGGCGGCAAGGTTGATTGTCAAATGCCTGTGCAAGGACTTCGTCACTTGAAAGAGGCGAGGTTCGGTAAATAGCAGTGAAGAAAGCCCTGTGTACACAACCTTCTGCAAGACAATGTAGCTTTCAATTAGCCTGCTGAGATGGAAGAGCCTGAGGTACATGATTCTGAGATACATTCGGGTGGACCACAAGCAGCAGGAGACGGCATATGCAGAGCTTGTGGCTCGTCCTTCGACAGCCACAATTTTGTGGCGGCGGCGGTGCTGGTGCTGGTGATTGTGGCGGGGCGGCGGCGGCGGCGGCGGCGGTGGTGGTGGTGGTGGCAGCGGTATGCAGCGGTGGTGATTGCGGTGGCGGCGGCAGTGGCAGCGCTGGCGGTGGTGGTGTTGCTGCTGCAGCTGCTGGTGTAGGCGCAGGTAGTGGTGCTGGTGATGGAGGTGGGAGGAAGCCCACCCACTGCGGTAGTCTTGTTGGGTTCGTCCAAAGGCGAAGACAACGCCTTGTACCTGGTTTACTGCAAATCCCGTCCACTGCCTGCGCTCGGAGTATCTGAACCTCGGCCGCGCACCTCCCAAGTAAGATGCCATAGTATATTGGGATTATATAGGGATAATAGGAAAGAATATGGAGACACTATATAACATAACCCCAATATGCTATAGCATGCTGGGGTTATATAGGGATATGATGCCTAGGATGCCGCGTTCCCCAGTCAACCACATTTGACTCGAGTCCCATTCCATGCTGGAGATGCATGGTAGTTTTCCCAAAATGGGGAGACCCCAATGCAGACCCAAAGTTGTACAATCCTTATACTATTACTATTACTTTGGGACCCCCCAAAATGTACCCCTGATTTTGGGAAGCCTCCATGTGCTTCTGGCTCTGCGCCCTTCAACGCCCAGCCAAGGAAGAAACAGGATCCTCCTTGCCGCCCGAACCTGAGGTTGACGAACGGAGGAACATGGTGAATGGGGTTTAGGATTTAGGAGTTAGGGTTCAGGGTTTAGGAGTTTAGGATACTATAGCTCGCATGGTGAAGAACATGTCTCAACATATTGCGACTACAACCCGTGAATGGACCCAAACTTCTCGTCACAATCCCCGGAGCTCTATAGTTCCTCAGGTCCCAAGCTCTGAGAATCCACCCAGAGCCAAAAGGCTGTAAACTAAAGACTCCTTCCGCTGAGGCTTCTATGTTGCTGGCCGTGAACACCTTCTCAGGTACAAGGGGCCGACCCGAAATTGTTACTGGTGGTTGGTAGGGAGGGAATGTAGGGCTCGTCATTAGAGATCATGTATAATAAAGGCTAGCTTTAGGAATGCATTCCTACATTCCCCAATCAATAACCATCAGTAAGAAAAGGGGTTTAGGGTTTCATTTTGTCACTTGCAGACCGAACGTTTGCTGCTGGAAGGGCCAACGAAGAGGCGAACTGCCACTTTGAGGATCCCGACTACTACGCTGCTCCTTGGAAGACGTTAGGGCTCAATAGGGTTCAGGGTTCAGGGTTTAGGGTTTAGGATTTAGGGTCTAGGGTCTAAGATCCTGGAAGATGTTAGGGTTCAGGGTTTAGGGTTGGCCCGTGTTAGAAGAGCATGAAGCTCAAAAGTGGCTGAAATTTTAAGGGTTACCCGTACTATTACCTGGTATCACGCGGACTCGCTGCCAGAACAGTTGTCAGAAACCACAGGTCGAAAGAAGTTTGAGGCGACAACGATTTTTTGCACGTTCAGTTCAATATGGTTGTGCTGAGTGGATGCCAAACCAAGCCTGTATCATTTGATAGTTTCCCAAAATTAGGGGTACCTATTGCCCCCAATAAAGGAGAATCAAATGGAAAAGAAAATGGAAAATGAAATGGAAACTGGGAGTATAGGGTAGTTTATAGGGATAGTGGTTTCCCAAAATTAGGGGTACCTTTTTGGGGGTCCCAATAATAAGGATTATAGTATCTTGGGGTCTATATTGGGGTCCACTTATTTTGGGAAACTACCATTTTTTGAAGGTAGTAACAGGAGCCACTAACATGTTTCTAAACCCATGCTATGAGACATCTTTTCTAAGCCAACGCTATGAAAAAAATCTGTGAGGGTCGTAAAAAGATGCATCCATGATCCATGCAATGCAAAACCCATACCATGAGGCAAATCTTCAAATGACCCACCCTGAAAATAGTCATACCATACTATGAGACAAACTTTTGAGGATCGTTACTGTCAAGGGACCTGCTTATACAACTAAAAGTCCATACTAGGAGCAAGGGTGGTAGATGGACCCACCTATATAATACTGGGACCATATTATGGACAAATTTGTGGGTTTAGGGTTTAGGGTTTATGAGGGTAGTGAACGGACCATTCGTAAGAAAGAATATGGCAGTCCCGTGCGAAAAACTGGGCAGGGTGGCAAGGGACCCACCGCTACAATACAGAAGTGTCAGAAACATCTGTGAGGGTAGTAAAGGGACCCACCCGTATAAAAGATGCTGAGCCCCTACTATGAGAACAGCCTTGCAGGCCTTATACTGCTAAGCCCACAGTATGACAAAAATCCTTCAAGGTAGCAGAGGATAATATTAAGACATAATTGTAAGAAAAGTCTTGGAGCGTGTGTCAAGGGACCCACCCACATAATGCTGAGCCCATACCTGGAGAAAAGTCTTTGAGAGTAGTAAAGAGACCCACGCACATATGCTACATAATTAGTAGTTTCCATTTTCTTTTCTATTATCCCCATATAGCCCCAATCCTAAACCCTAAACCCCATTATAGTAGCTTCAATGTTGAATACCAAGCCCCTACCATGAGCATACTATGCGAACAATCCTGGAAAATCGGAAGGGACCCACCCATGTGACCCCAAGCCCAGCCTGTGCTCTCGTAACCATATGCGTTTGGAACACGAACGTTACATATAATAGGGTATATATTGGGGCTCTATTGGGAAAATGGAAAAGAAAATGGAAACTACTATATTGTTGTGGGCATGGATGTCTTAGTATCCGCGTGACTTCGGAGCACGAACGAAATTATGCCTTGGACATAGATTTTCTGGTAGCCCTATGCCTCCGAAACACGAACGCCATTATGTTTTGGGCATGGATGCTGTGGTAGCCACGTGGCGGTGATACCGTGATGCCTACTAATACTAATTAGTTAACAAGATGAATAGAAATAGCAATACATAATCAAAGTATCATAATAGATATACTTATATTTATGTATATATATATGAGTATAGACATATGGTAGTTGTCAGAAGTAGGGGGACCGCAGACCCCCAAATACTACAGTCCTTATTCTTGTGACCCCCGAAAAGGTTGCCGTACTCTTGGGAACCCCCCCTCTACATATACATATATATATATATAGATATCTAATTATGTATATATAGATATAGGCATATATGCATATATCTTTGTAGCAGCAGTGGGGTCTTCCATGGTTTCATGAAAGCCGCAGAGACCGTTGGGGAACCCTGAACCCTAAACCCTAAACTTGAGGTCGAGATAGTGGGATGGAAAATGGAGGGTGAAACGTTGGCAGAGCTGTACTGAGCGGGTGGAAGTTAGTTCCTACAGGGCAACAAGCACCCCCGAGCATATGCTAGACGTAAAAGCCCACGGGGTTGTAAACAAAAAACCTAAACTTGGGCAGTCCAAGGTGAAACCCAGAGGTTGGCATTTGCTGAGCAACGAGTGATTCGGGATGACCTGCCGCGGAGGGCTGTTGAGATTCCTTAGAGGGATTAGGGGCTGAGGGATTAGGGTTTAGGGTTTAGGGGTTTGGGGCCGTAGGGATTTAGGGTTTAGGGTTTAGGATTTAGGGTTTAGTGCTTGGGTTGGGGGTTTAGGGTTGGGTGGTTAGGGCTTCTGGTATCTAAAGGGTTGTGCTATGTGGGTCTATGTAAGCCAAAGCACAACTTTTCATGAATCTCGCAGCATGCCTAATAATTCTACTGAAACGGGCGGCCAGGAATTTCTGAGGGGTGAACCCCATGGTGTGACAACCTTAGCTTTCGGGAAGCATGACCATCTCTCAGTAGCTCAGCAACTAAACAAGTGCCATCGCCGCAGCCCTGATTGTGTTAGCAGCATGCTGGCGAGAGAGCGGCAGCTTGACGAGGCAAAACTGATCCGCTTACTGGCTTATGGAAACTTGATTTAGGTGTAGGTTCCTTAACAGCAATCCAGATTACTACGAGGACATGGTGCGCTCGGCCTTCATCTGGAACCGGAGCATTACCAGGGCTACACCGCGAAATGAATTGCATGTTGGTTTGGTGTTTTCTCAGCTGCACGCTGGATGCATGTTTTGTGTGCCATGTTTGACATGCGTCAACAGTTATTGGCTCGCAACAACAAGAAGAAGGAAAAGGCTCCACGTTGTTACTATTATTACTATTCTTGCTTTGACTGCGGTTATTGCTATCATTATTGAACATGATAATGCGTCTCGCTCGGGTTGACATCCAACCGGCCGGCCTCAGAGAGCCTTCTGACAGCAAGCTGCTTTGCGGCATGTGTTGGGCCAAGCCTCTTCTAGCTGCTTTAGGTGGACCCCAAACCCATTAATAGTCACTTTAGGGGGATAATGGTGATCGCATTCGGGGCCTCGTGTATTCCTCCAAAGCCACAATTATGGGGTGGGGGGCCCACCTAGCCAATGCAGCTGAACATCATGGTTGGTGGTTCGGCATAGCTGAGGGTAAGCTCCGCACCGCAGTCTAAGACCTGGTGACATGCGCAAACTCACAAGTTATTCGGGTATAGGGATTAGGGTTTAGGAGCAGTGGCAAGCGCAATGCCATGTATGATGTGAGCATGATTCAGAGTTTTCACAGCACGGTGCCCGGTGGATGGACCATGCGAACATTGGTGGGTCTTTGGTTATAGTAGTAATAGCCGAAATAGTAATAATCACGATAAGACCACGAATAATAATGTTAGCAATAGTAATGGAGATAAATCATGCAAGTTGCCCTGGCATGCCTGGCATTTTGGCTCCGAAAACGCTGGGCGCCGGTGTCCGCACCGGCCTTGATGATAGACGAGTAGCAGAAGGCTGGGCTTCTTGGTTGGAGTCTATTGTATCATGGGCTTAGGGTTTTAGGGTATAGGGTTTAGTGTTTAGGATTTAGAATTTAGGGTTTAGGGGTTTAGGGTTTTAGGGTATGGGGTTTGGGTTTTAGGGCTTAGGGCTTGCTGGTGGGAAGT